CTCTCTCTCCCCCTCTCTCCCTCTCTCTCTCCCTTCCCTCTCTAAAAATAAATAAATAATAAAATCTTTAAAAAAAAAAGAAAAAAAGAAACATGCTTCAGCTGGCATTAGTGAAACACATAGTAAAATTTCAATTTTGGTCAACACTGTCCCTTGGAAAAACAACTAGCTAATCTCCATTTCCTTCCTTACAGAATAAAAAATAACACAGCACACATTCATGTATTCACTGGCCAATTGTTAAACCATAACATTTCCCCATATTTGCTTTAAATCTTTTACTTTTGAAGAAATTAAAGTTGAAAAGTCCAGAACACTTTATTTTTCACTATTTTTTTTCCTTTTTCTCACTTTGTAAGGTTCAATTCAATGAAGTATGACAAAACAAACGCACACGACCACCAGCAGGCGTAGTAGCACCAGGTCAAGGAACAGCACCCACAGCCCACAGAGCTCCAAAGCACCAAAGCACTGCCACCTGCAAGCCTCCAAATTTAATCCCATTATCCTGTATGTTGGTAACAACCGGTTTCTTGCCTTTCTTTGCTGTACAACCTAGATATGCATCCCCCAAACACTCTAATTTTTGTTTCATTTTTGAACTTTAAACAAATCACATAATACATATTCTTTTGAGCATGGATTCTTTAGCTAAAAGAATATGGCTTCTTATTCTTGTGAGATTCATCCACGTGTACAGTTGTAGTTTGGATTCACTGTCCTAGTATGAACATGTAATGGATAATTCATTCTACTATTGATGGACAGTTTCAAACTTTTATCCATTATGAAAAACACTGTGAACATTTTGGTATATATTTCACATAATACCTATGTGTGTGTATATCTATATTACTATTCAAATCTACTGACCAAATAAATTAAGGTATACTCTTATTGTCATCTGCAGCTTATTTCAGTTATTTATTATTATTCAATACTAAAGCCAATACATAAACATTCTTGTATATCGTTCCTGTGCACATGTGGGTCATTTCTCTCGGGGATATACCAGGAAGTTAAACTGCTGGGAAAAAGTATATGAACACCTTTAATATTACTGTTCATTACTCCCCAAAATGACTGTATTCATCCTCATTAACACTTTTAAATGTTTTTTCCCACTTTAATGGGTGTGACTTGTATAAAATTGTGGTTTATCTTGTCATTTCCTTAATAATGTATAACACTGAGTATCTTTATCAGTCAATGGGTTTTCACTTCTATTAATTGCCCATCTTTAAATTGAGCTCTGTTTTCTTTTCCTCCTTAATTCTGATTTCAACATTTTGTTAGTTATATGTATTCCAAACAGATTCTCCTAGGCTCTGGCTTTATCTTTGTATTCTATTTATGATATCATTTGCTGTATCAAAAGGTTTGAATTTTAATATTCAAATTTGATACTTTTCCCTTTATTGATTATTTATCTCGAATCTTACTGAAGAAATATTTTTTCTACTGAAAGTTCATAAAGATAGACTTCTCAATTTTCTCCTAAAAGATTAACTGTTGATATTTAAATTTTCATTTCTCCGGTGACTGTTTGACTTTTGTATTTGGTGTTTATTAGGAACCCACTGCCATCCTTTTACTTCAGGCCCCCAGGGTCTCAAAAGTACACTAGCTGTGGCAGTTACCTTTAAGGTAGAGGGAAAGGTACGGTTCTGTATTTATTGACCAGGCTGGTAGGTATGTTCACCTGGCTGGTGTACACTGAGCTGTACACTTCTGTGTGCATGTTGTAGTGGTGTGTGAGAGCTGGCTCACACTAGCTCATAAGAGCTGATTGTTAAACAAGAATTTTGTGAATTAATTGTCAAACTGTTGGTAGCTTAAAATCAGTCATGAATTAACTATTTACATAATTAAATTTGACAAAAGCTACACAATGAGACATATTTCTTTTCCCAAGTAGTGGGAATGTCTTAAAAAAAAGTTTAAAAACATATATCCTTTGGCATATAGGCAATTTTACCATAAAGAAGTAAGAGCTCCAGCATGTGAAAGGATAAATTCACTGAGATGTTTACTGCAGCACTGCTCGTGGTTGCCAACAAAAGCCCCAAAACCAAATCACTAGAAACAACATAATGGAGGGAAGTGGGGGATAAAGAAACTGTTGGAAAAATTATGGTATATACAGGATATGAAATATCATGCAACTTCAAAAAAAGCAGGAGTAAAATCTATTTGTAATGAGCAGGGAGATGCCTAAAACATATTAAGCGAAAGAAAGCAAACTGCAAAACAATGTATATAATTCAATGAATACAACAAAAAAAAAAACACAAAAAAATCCTCTTAATACATATGTTTATGTGTGTATGTGTGTGTGTTTTTAAGATTTTATTTATTCATTTTTAGAGAGAGGGGAAGGGAGAAAGAAAGGGAGAGAATCATTGATGTGCGAGAGACACATAGATCAGTTGCCTCTCTCACACCCCCTACTGGGAACCTGGGCAGTGACCCAGGCATGCGCTCTGACTGGGAATCCAACCTATGGAACCTTGGTTGTCAGGCTCGTGCTCAGTTCACTGAGCTACACCAGCCAGGGCTGTGTGTGCATTTTTACATGACTTTATAAAGAAAGCTGTGGAAGGATAATTTTGCATTGACTGCTTGGAGGAAAGGGAGGCTCACCTGGCTGGGGCTCCAAGTGAAGAGTGTTAACTTTTTCTCTGTATACCTCTATATTGTTCTAATTCCAATAGATTGTTATTTTGTAACTTAAGATAACCCAACAATGTTTTAAAATCTTATTTATGAAGATTATAGGTCATAGCAAAAGTCATGTAAGCGGTTGGTAGGCTTATCTATGAATTCTTCCTATTCTAGTCACACTTGTCTTACTGCCAAGCCTTTTCAATGGTCATTTTTCTCAAGGATATTTTTCTGATATTAAAAAACATTAACAACTTCTCATTGCTATAGGATTAAACCCAAAGTTAGTAAAGGAAACTAAAGTATGAGCCAGAATGTCCGGGATCTAGTCCTAGTTCCATTTAGTAACTACAGGACGTTAAGGCTCTAACAGTGCAAATGAGGGACAGGAGATGGAGAATCAGTTTGCTTTCAGATACTGGTATGCTTTAAGGCAATATGGCAAGTGACTGAATGAAATAATCGCAGATTTGGATTTTAGCATTGCCTCTTACTACTTACATAACATTGAGAAAGTTAGTTATCTTTTTTAAGTTTCAGTTTCTGATTCAGTAAAGTGGGACTAATACTATTGACCTTTCAGAATTAGAATAACCATTAAAGTATGAATAATACATGTAAAGTATTTGCTCATATTAAAATCTAGTAGGTGCTGAATACATGCTTTCTGTTACAACAACCATCCTCATTCTACAATCACCACTTCAAGACCTTCGCAATTTTTCCATCACCAATATAGTTCTGAATCACTTAGGGCAGTGATTTTCAACCTTTTTCATCTCATGGCACACATACTAATTACTACAGTTTTTGCAGTAAACTGGTTGAAAATCACTGTTTTAGGGCTTACTACATGCTTAAATACTGAGGTGGGAACTTTATATACACAATCTCTTTTATTTTTTAAAATTTTGTTTAGTTTTAGAGAGGGGGAGGGAGGGAGGGAGAAAGAGAGGAAGAGAAACAAACATCAGTGTGTGGTTGTCTCTCACACGCCCCCTACTGGGGCCCTGGACCACAACCCAGGCGTGTGCCCTGACTGGGAATCAAACCAGTGACCCTTTGGTTCACAGGGCAGCTCTCAATCCACTGAGCCACACCAGCCAGGGCACAATCTCATTTATTTTAGTTTTTTCATTATAATAACCTTAAGTTATATGAAGCAGTCATATTTTATGGATTAAAAATGAGGCTTAAAGAGGTTACATAACAATTTGAAGGTTATAAAGCTAGTAGTGGTGGAGTAGTTAGGGTGCTGACCTCTTTTCCCTTAGATTGTCAATAAAATGAAAACATGACAAAAGCTAACACAATAATAGCCGTATGGTGTGAGCGATTCACAATGGTATCTATTTTTTTTTTCGTCAGATTGGCAACGGCTGCAGATTTTTAGTAATTAGTTGATGTGTTCCATACGATGAAAAAAGTTGAAAATTGCTGATCTAAACCACACATTTAGGCATTCAAACACTACAGTATCACAGAATACCTTATAAGTGATTTTATGCTGGGCTTTTTTCAATATAAATTTTGAGTTTCTTAAAGACAAGATGTAACTTTTCTAAATCCCAACATACTTACCTACCACCTTTGACAGAGGTACTCAAAAATATTGATAGAATGACAAAATTTTATACTTTCACAGCAATGCATAATCATAATGAGTTGTGAGAATTAAAAAACTCAAATGTTAAAGGTCAAACATTTTTGCCCCAAGTACCCCAGTAACAGAGAAAACACAGACATACATGCCAGTTTCATGACTGTAGAATTGAGGACAATGAATATTAATCAGACATCTTAGGTCCCCCAATCTGCCTCCCCCTGCATTTGACAGGCTGTGAAGATTAAATGGCTGTTAACAATGTAAAGAGAGAGAAACCTAATAGTTTCTAAGACATGAAACTTCCATTTTTGAATCCTTTATGACCACAACTATCCTATCAGTTTCACTGAAGCTAGAATTGGAACCAATGTGTTTTCCCATTTTGAATGCAATGTGAATGAAAGGATTTGTTTTATTTCTATTAAGAGGATGCCCCAGGAAAAAATGCTTGCCCGTGACAACAATTGCACATTACTAATTTAAACCACATTCCATCTTCCTCACACTGGATGAAACCATACGTGCCCACTGCAGTCTAGTCTCGCCCTCCAGAGATCAGTACACATTTTATAAAAGGTTTCTTTTTCTACAATAAGAATGTTATATTAATAGATGCTAAAAATATATTCTCCCCTTTACGTTGCCCCAATGACACTTCTGGGAAGATGTATAGCGAGGGGAGAATATACCTCTTGGAGATTTCTGGTTTTACTCCTTCCTCTCTTCTTACCGTTACTAGACACCGACACATGTTTGCGTAAGCCACGGAAAAACTGGGCTCGTCGATAGCCTTCTCGAAGACCAGGTCGATGACCCCCTTCAGCCGCTCCTCTGTGTCCACGGTGAGGCCGGACACCTGCTTCATCAGCTGGTTGAACATCTGTGGTGTCAACTTGTTTAAGATGCTTCGAACTTTCCTAAAAAGCTCCTAGAAGGATACACACGCAAAAAACAGCATTATAGTAATGGGGATATTACGATGCTTTCTGTAAGAATTAATATTTTGTTTATAACATATAAATGCAACTTTCCAAATGATTCCTTAAATATTATTATTAATATTATCAATATCATTTATTAATAATAAATCTCTAATGTATATACGAAGTGAAAGGAGCTATACTCAAAATGATTCCACTTACATGATACTTTGGAAAAAGCAACATTATAACTACAACCAGGTCAGTGATTAACAGAGGGGGACATGTGGGGACAGGATGAATACAAAGTAATACAAGGACATTTCAGGTGGCTGGTGGAAATGTTCTGTATCTCGATTGTGTCAGTAGTTGCATGACTATGGATGTCTGTCAACAATTACAGAACTATACACAAAAACGGAAATTTTACTAAATGTAGATTATATAATTAAATTTACATTTACTTACATAAATAAAATAGCCCAGTAAAATTCATGAAATCATGATATAATAACTGAAAAGGCCTACACAAATGTTTTGTTTGATCCTGTTAAACATGTGTATTGGTATACAAAGATTTTAGTTATGTGCCAAAATGTTAATACTTTCTCTAGGCAGGAGAAAGTAAATAAATCAACTTAAATTTAAAAAAAAACTATATTGCCAAGTTTTTGAGCAATGGGTCACTATTACTTTAAAAAAAAAGTTTATTTATTTATTTTTAGAGAGGGGAAAGGAGGGAGAAAGAAAAGGAGAGATACTTCAGTGTGTGGTTGCCTCTCGCACACCCCTAACCAGGTACCTGGCCTGCAACCCAGGCATGTGCCCTGACTGGGAATTGAACCGGTGACCTTTTGGTTCACAGGCCAGCGCTCAATCCACTGAGCCGCACCAGCCAGGGCAAGTCAGTATTACTTTTATAAAGAAACAAAAAATTAAGTTTAGTAGGGATGGGGGAGTCATTGCATCTTTCTAATTTTGCCTATATCAACTGAGATAGTATTGTTTAGGTCTAAAACTCTGAACTGTTTTACATGAAGAATAAAAATCAACAATCTTCAAATATCTTCAAATATTTCAGAAGATAACAAGTTTAGAAGATAGGATAATAAAAAGATAATTTACTGAAGTAATGTACAGCATATTTTAAAGGTGCTAAGAGAGTAGATCTTAACAATTCTCATCACAAGAAAAAAATTATAATTATGTACGATGATGAGTGTTAACTGGAATAATTGTAGTGATCATTCTGCAATATATAGAAATGTCGAGTCATGACACTGTACACCTGAAACTGACTTTATTAAAAAAATCCCCAGCATCAAACAACAACAAATTCACTGAAAATCATTTATTCCCCATAACTGCAAATCTACAACCAATTCTGTACCAGGTACAAATAAAGCCTAAGGCACAATTATGGTCTTCCAGACCACTGGCATTTAGAAGCAGAGACAAGGTAGTTACAAGTTAAGTGACAGAGAAAGCACGAGGCAGATCAGGAGCTAGAGAAGGGGGAAGTTGAGGTACAAGAGCGATCAGAGGCAATGAGTTAGTCAGGGAATGCCTCTGGAAGAAACTGAAAATTGACTGGGCCAGATAATTGACAGAAAAAAGCTGTAAGTGGGGAAAAAAGGGACAGGGAAGAAATTTTAGGAAGGGAAAGCATTTTAGAAAGGAACTTTTTAAAAAAAGATTTTATTTATTTATTTTTAGAGAGGGAAGGGAGGGAGAAAGAGAGAGAGAGAAACATCAATGTGCAGTTGCTGGGGGCTGTGGCCTGCAACCTAGCCATGTGCCCTGACTGGGAATCGAACCTGCACTTTGGTTCGCAGCCCGAGCTCAATCCACTGAGCTACGCCAGCCAGGCTAGAGAGGAACTTTTACGGAGAATTTCCTCCTTTGGTATACAGAACGATGAAGGAAGCTCACAGAGTAGTGCGCGCTAACTGGGAGATGGGATGAGGTTTAAAGGGATAGGGTAAAAGCTGGGGTGCAGACAAAAGTCAGTCCTGCAGAAGAGGGTGAAGCAGAACAGGTATGAGGCAGGGGACCCCAGTAACGGAACCACCACAGTAGTGTGTGTGTAGCGGTCTAGTCAGGTCACGAGGCAATGATTTCCTAGAACTGCTTCAAGGAGGTGAAATCTTATGATACAGGAGGAATAAGGTTACAGGTAGTCATTCATAAAGTTGTTATAATATAAGCTGTAAGAATGAAAGAGTTTTCTGGAAGTGGAGGCAACAATAAAACTACTGTTTTCACAAAAAGGGAAACACGCAAAATAACAATTAGCAGTTCAAAATGGGGTACACCTATGCGGAGAAGAAAACTCCACAAAAAAATGAAGGAATGAAGCAAAGATGCTACTTATTTGGAAGGCAATAGATCAAGAAAAGTAAGGTTGTATGGGCCCTGAAAAAATGAAGTTTATTTATGCTTCATTAAATTTGCACTATCGAGTCACTACAGAAAATAATTTTTGATAGTTTAAGTCAATATAACTAATGATTTTGAAGTAAAAATTAATCAATAATGGGTACAACTCTGCCCTGGCTGGTGTGGCTCAGGGGACTAAGCACCAGCCTACAAACCAGAAAGTCGCAGGTTCAATTCCCGGTCAGGGCACATACCTAGGTTGTGGCCCAGGTTCCTCAGCTGGAGAGCTGTGAGAGGCAACCAATCAACATATGTCTCTCACATCGATGTTTCTCTCCCTCTATTTCTCTCTCCCTTCCCCTCTTTCTAACAAGTAAATAAAATCTTTTTTAAAAAGAGGGCAGAATTCTGTTAACAGAGTAAAGGGAGGCAGATTATAAGTCACAACAAATGGATTATTCAGTAATCACCACATGGTGGGTAACAATCTCTTGGAGCTTCACTTCTCCTCAATTGAAAAGTAGAGAGTTTCTATTCCCTTCTTCGTAGGTCTGAAGAATCTAATGAAGGAAGACACTAACACAAATGCATTCAATTCTGAAACAAGACATCTTCAATAACTCAGCAGGAATTTTAACTATCTTTCTAAGCCCTTTAGGCCTCTTATCATTGAGCATTTCATAGGGGACTAGAAGGAGGGATGCAGAAGGTATTTTTAAAAAACACTGACATATACTGAGAATGAATGGAGGGAAGACTAGGTACTGGATATCAGTGAATCTGCAAAAGGATGTACTTAGGGACAAACACCTGAGCAATCACCAGAAAGACGAACAAAGGCGAGTAGCCAAGTTAGACTGACAGCATAGCTTCCATCCAAGATGGAGATGTAGGTAGACACACTGTGCCTCCTTTCACAACCAAAAGAAGGACAACAACAAATTTAAAAACAAAAATAACCAGAACTGCCAGAAAAATTGAACGGCATGGAAGTCTAACAACCAAGGAGTTAAAGAAGAAACATTCATCCAAAAAAAATATGGCCCAAAAAGAAAGAACAGATCAAACCTCCAGAAAAAATACAACTAAGCAATGAAGAGATAGCCAACCTATCAGACGCAGAGTTCAATACACTGGTAATCAGGATACTCAAAGAATGGTTGAGTATGGTTACAAAATAGAGAAAGAAGTGAAGGCTATGCAAAGTGAAATAAAGGAAAATGTGTAGGGAACCAACAATGAAGGGAAGGAAACTGGTGCTCCAATCAATGGTTTGGACCAGAAGGAAGAAATAAACATTCAACCAGAACAGAATGAAGAAACAAGAATTCAAAAAAAATGAGGAGAGGCTTAGGAATCTCTGGGACAACTTTAAATGTTCTAACATCCGAATTATAGGGGTGCCAGAAGGAGGGAAAGAGCAAGAAATTGAAAACTTAGTTGAAAAAATAATGAAGAACTTCCCCAATCTAGCAAAGGAAATAGACTTCCAGGAAGTCGGGAAGCTCAGAGAATCCCAAAGAAGTTGGACCCAAGGAAGCACACACCAAGGCACATCATAATTACATTACCCAAGATTAAAGACAAGGAGAGAATCTTAAAAGCAGCAAGAGAAAAAGAGACAGTTACCTACAAAGGTGTTCCCATAATTTTATCAGCTGACTGCTCTAAAGAAACCTTGCAGGCAAGAAGAGACTGGAAAGATGTATTTGAAGTCATGAAAGGCAAGGACCTACACCCAAGATTACTCTTCCCAGCAAAGCTATCATTTAGAATGGAAGGTCAGATAAAGTGCTTCCCAGATAAGGTCAAGTTAAAGAAGTTCATCATCACCAAGCCCTTATTATATGACATATTAAAGGGACTTACCTAAGAAAAAGATAAAAAATATGAACAGTAAAATGACAATAAACTCAAAACCATCAACAACCAAACTTAAAAAACAAAAACAAATTAAACAAACAACTAGAATGGGAACAGATTCACAGAAATGGAGATCACATGGAGGGTTATCAGTGGGGGGGAGGGGGAGGAGGGTACATGGGGGAAAAGTATAGGGAATAAGAAGCATAAATGGTAGGTATAAAATAGACGGGGGGAGGTTAAGAATAGTATAGGAAATGGAGAAGCCAAAGAACTGACGTGTATGACCGATGGACATGAACTAAGGTGGGGGAATGCTGGTGGAAGAGGGGGTACAGGGTGGAATGGAATAAAGGGGAGAAAAAAATGGCACAACTGTAATAGCATGATCAAGAAAATATATTTAAAAAAATAAGTCTGACAGCACAGCTTTGTAATGGATCAGTTCATCTTGGTCCTGACATTCTCTGAACAACTTTATTGATTCGTTTATTTGTTTAACAAGTATTTACTGAGTACCTACTGTGTGTGAGGTTCTCTGCTGGTGCTAAATGAAAGTCAGTATTTCTAAGGCCCATCTCTGATCCAGGAACATCATCATACTGAGTACCCGGCTGCGGTCCAGGAACTGGGCCCAGTGCTCTGTACTACTTCACTGAACCTTCACCGTGGCCCTGTGAGGTAGGTCACGTCACTGTCTTCACTTCCCAGTGGAGACACAGCAGAGGTATCCCAAGGGTAGGAGCCGGCACCGTGTGCACAGCAAAGGGTGAGCCAGGCTTTACATTATTTGACATGCAAAACATTTTGTGTGGATTAAAGGAATCCTTCAGTTTACCCTACGGAGTTTTGAGGACAAGATATGCATATAAAAATACAAATGATTTAATTTTACTCCTAAAGACTCTAAAACAAGATGGGTTTCTTAACTTTACCTCTTTAGAAGTGAAGGTCTGACAGGGAGACATGAAGCAATGTATCAACCAGTCTGTTGCACAGTAAACACTGCGAATCTAAAAATATATTTTTAATACAAGCAAATATGGATCTAAGCCTAAATGATAGCATTCTATGATTTATGAACCTTTCAGACATAGTGTCTGTTCTGAAAAGCACACACAAAGCAATTTCAAAGTGAAATAGGTTGTCTGGTATCCAAGATGGCTTTTAGAATAATGCTTGCCTTACAGCAGGAAAACACAGCACAAAAATCTTCAACTAAGATCTCCAAATATATTCATAGGGCAACACGACAAGCTCAAACAGTATCACTGTAACTCCAAACACAATGGCAGCATGAGCTTCTGTGCTCACCTGGGTTTTGATGTTCTCGGGATCCTCGGCTTGGCTGTCTCGTTTCTGACTGGGCTTCCAGGCGTTCTCGGCCTTTTTCAGGTGCACGTCTTCTTTCACGGAGACCGTGATGATCTTCCTGGGCTCTCTCCGCTGGCCAGGCTGAGATCTCCGCGGTCCGACATTCAACAACTAGGACAAGAATATTCTTCATTACATCTCCACAGCGCACTTACGATTCACTGTCTCTGCTACGCTGCTCGGCTCAAGCCTGATGATCACACCCAACACATCTAGATGCAAAGATGAATGTTAGGCACTCTATTTAGATTTGATCTTTTGGGGGAGTTGGGGGCGTTAGGTCACCATCCATGTAATGTTCTCCACCACTATAATCTTAGATCCTGAAGTCCTAAGTGAAATAAAGTGATGGAAAATTATATTCAATAAAACTGTTGTTTCTCACAAAGAAAAACTACCCTTCGCTGATGCTCTACTTACTTTGAATAACTACAAAAATCCACATACAGTAATAACCAGTTACAAATCTGCTTCCAAAACTGGGTGAAATGCAAATACAAGCTTGTCACAAAAATTTTCTGTAGCACAGACACCCGACTTCGCTGCAGATCTTAATGGATCCCTCTGAATTTGCTGGGCCAGAAATACTAAAGTAAGTCTTTCTTATATCATTAATGAGATCCAACTGAATTGCTCCCTGAAAAAAAATATTTTCCTCTCTTTATGAGTTCTCTGTTCCTGCTACAGTCCCACTATACTCATCATGTTAAAACCAGTAACATACGCTGGCATGTCGCACTGGACATCAAATTAAGCTTTTGTTACTGTGCGATAAGGAGGTAGGTTAAAAGGTGCATTCTCTGTATTTATAGTCACAACAGCTGCTACATTAAATGCTTGGAAATAATATTGCAAGATTAAACTGTTGGGTTGATAGTAAGTTCCGCTCCTCTGTTGCATAGTGAGAGCCTTTATGTTTTCTGATATAGCATTCTCTAAATGCTGAGTAAATATTGCCATTAGGTTTTAAGAGGGAAAGAAAAAAGCTTCACACAACACATGTAGACCAGAATCATACCTCACTTAATGCCCCAATACTACCCTTCTGAATTCATATAAGGCTTCAGGAAAGGAAGCAGAGACTTAAATGTCATACTTTATATAAAAAGACAGGTTATAAGAGAGGCATGGTTTCAGGCCTCGGCTGAGAATCTTAAAAGCCTTTACATATCACTCATTTTCAGAATTACTCCAATATTTCACCATCTGCCCTAATTAGAAATGGCATTATCAAGAACGTATCAGGATCAAAAGTTAGAATTCCTAGGCACTACAACACTAATTTATCCAGCCAAGAGCCCAGTGCTGATGATATGGTCTCAGACTATTAGTAAACATTAAAAAACTGGGGTCAGACAAACCCAGAAGCCACAGGCACGGTACAACTAAAAGAGAACTAAACAGATCACCAGGCTGAAAAAGTGCCAACAGGAAACAGCTGCTAAACCAAGTAGTACTACTGTAAGAACAATTATTTATAATGGAAACTTTGATAAGACAGCCTGGACAAAATAATTCTGTTAAGAAAATGTAGTAAACCAAGTACTATATGGTTTTTTTATAATTCAGGTTATATTCACTAAGGTTAATCTCTTTTTCAATGCTTGGATAAAGTCCAAGTACAATATTACATCACAAGACATTTAACTTAATCCATGCATTTACTCATAAAACTTTGTCAAGGACAAAGGTTGGTGGCTGTAATGAAAGATTATTATGTCAAAAATCACATAAAAGCAATAGTATGCATACTGGAGATATAATTTTAATCATATTTAGACAAACTTAGAAAGTGCCCATTTCCAAAAAATACTGCAAACATCAATGAACAAACCTTGGCATTTGAATCTAGAAAGTAATTATGCCACATCTCTTTACCTGCCTCTGGACACATATGTGTGAGATGTGAGCTATATTACAAAACAGATAACAACGTTAGTCAATATTTTAGTCCAGGAGAAAAAGATAAAAAAGCTGAAATTATAACCATGTGTAAGTGCCCAAGAAAACTTTTAAAATTATATTTGTACCTCTGGTTATAATTAAGACAGACACTGTTCACAAATACTTATCCAAGAATACTGAGTTCTTCAAAAGGTGACTATACTTATAAATGCTTAACATGCTTATTAATTAATCAATCTCTAATGTTCTCATGTTGACACTCTGAGAATGAACGCGCTGTCTGGAATGTCAGTGTCCGGAAGGAACGCGGTGCAGATCTGGAGAAAAGAGGCAGACCACAAGACAAAAGAACTGTGGGGTCTTCAGTCCGATTCTGCTGTTTACGAGTGAAGTTGCTGTGGGCAAGTCTCTTAACTTTGTTGAACTTAAGCTTTCTCATACAATAAATTGCTTGTCCCACCTACAAAAGTTATTATGAGAATCATGGTGCATAAAATATAAGGCATATAAAAGCACCTAAAATCTAGGTAAGGTATTATCATCAATAAAAAAGCACCAAAGGAACTTTTTCAAAAGTGATATACTGTAGATTGTTGCAATTACCTATACATATTTTGTGTCCTTTTTTAAAAAAAATGTTTTAAATTTATTTTTAGAGAGATGGGAAAGAGAGAAACATTGATGTGTGAGAGGCACACCAACCAGTTGTCTCTCACATGTCTGCAACCAGGGACCTGGCACACAACCCAGGCATGTGCCCTGACTGGGAATCGAACCAACAACCCTTTGGTTCGCAGGCCAACACTCAATCCACAGAGCCACACCAGCCAGGACTTGTGTCCTTTTTCATCTGTGAAAAATGTAATACAAATTGTCAAATTTATAGTGTCCTTCAAAAGTTGCACCATATATAGTGATACGACTTAATGTACTTTGCCGTGTATAATGCATACTTTTTTGCCCAAATTTTGAGGAGAAAATAAGGATACCCATTATACATGTGTGGTATCTGAAATACCTTGTATCTGTTCTGTTTTATAATTATTTGTTACATAAAATTTCTTGTACCATAGTATGTTAAAAATAAATGCTAAAATTCCTTTATAATACAAAAAACAACTATCTGAATATAAATAAATAAAAAATTGAGTAAGAAAGTTAAAACAAAAGATTTTTTCCTCAAAGTCTGGGCCAAAAACATGGGTGCGCATTGTATGCAGCTAAATGTGGTATTCATGGAACACAAAATCTGGGACCCAGAACTAGAAGTTATGAAGTGTAGTCCTTTATTCCTAAAGGGAATAAAGCCTGGTCTCCTTACCCGAAGGGCAGACTACCATGACTGATGGCTGGAAAAGAGACTTTAAGGTATAATGTGCTCAGGGTCCACAAACGTCAGAACCAATATAAAGCATCAAAATCTGGGGTTTACTAGTGAGCCAAAATTTTTTTCAGGCGGGAGCTGGGAGTTTAAATTTTTTGCCCACTCTCATATATTTTTCTTAAATGTATTAAATTAGAAATTATACTCATCTCTGGTTTAGAGTTTACTATATATACTGCTCTTATCTCATTCAGAGACTAGCACCTCAAACACCTCTGCTTACCTGGATCACCGAAGGAAATAGGACCACTGCTCATCGCAGCAATTTTGAAAGACAGACAACTAGTTGTTACTTTAAGGGGAGAGGGAAGCATGATATGAGGTCAAGAACACTTTGCCCCCAGGAGTGTTCTATTATAGTTCAGCTAATCTCCAAGTAAGCTGAAATGAATATAAATGGTAAGTTACTAGTCTAGGCCTACTGACCCTTGCTCAACGTATTTCTTTTGGAAAACTCTCAGTGATGTCTGGCAACAGATTACCATTTAAAATACCACAACCGCTATGTAACTTGACTTTTAAAAAGCTACAGAGATGATACTGGGTGCTTCCAACTGATATGCACTTTATTGTCCATCAAAAGACTTTTATATCTGAAAACTGCATGTGACATATTAAAATAACTGCTATGCAATAAAAATATTTTATAACAAGTCTGTTGTGGGAAAGTTTATACTAGGAATTACGGGTATTTAAGCCATACAATGAAGCATACCTAGCAGATACTAAGATTCTTGGGTGGTAACCACTTATAAGCCAATTTGGAAGCTGGTAAAAATGACTACATGTACGGAGCCAGAAAGTATGAAGAGTGGGTCTGCCGCTTTTTTCCAAATAGCACTACTGATTGCTCCTTCATCCGTGTCTACAACAATATACCAAAGTAAGCTGGACAAATTAAATGGAGAATATTTGTTAGCTAATGGAGATGTGGAAGAATAATTACTTGCATTAAACCAATAGAGCACAATTTCACTTTAAAATTAGCTTGTGGTATATGACAGAGCTGTTTAAAGAAAATGATTAAACAATTAAAGCTGACCTTTCTGAAGACACTACAGATTCTTGATAAAGGCTTGTTTCCAGTCATGTAACTTTGCATGCACCGAATAACTCATTTATCTGATATATGTGGGCACAGAGATTAGTGGGCAAAGATACACTGTGATAGTTACTTTTAAAGTTCATTTTCTAATTTCAGTATTTTAAGAGAGATAGAGTTTATTCTCAATTCACAGTATTTCCTTCCTGCTATACCTAATTAGCTGACAATAGAAACCTGGTAATAAAAAGTGACAGTACACACCGGCAGAAAAGATGTGGCAATTTATACCTTTTGCTAGTGACACATGAACAAAACTGAGCAATGTGATGATCACAGGTGCTGCTAACCTGAGATTAATCAACATGCTATTGACATTATTTCAAATGTTTGGCAAAACAGAGATATAAATCAAAACAAAAACAAAAACAAAAACACTGACAGAATATAAATTTAAGCGACTGAAAAAGGAAATAATACTCAAAAATAAAGTATAAAATGCTTTCTAGAAAGCGGCTAAGACTTTCTGATGAGGAAATTCAAATCTGTAACAATCACCACTTAGAGAAAATAAAGGTTAAACTTCAAAGCTGTGTGAGAATAGACATCTTTAAGATGGCAGTGCCCAGTAAATAATACGCTTTAAATTAAAGAGATTTTCTGTAGGTTCTACAAAGCCTCCAACACAGTGTGCGCATTTAAATATTTTTCAATCAGGCTGCAGGTAAATAATCAAATGATTCAAATACCTACAAAGTGACATTTGTCTTCAGATGCTGTTGTCTTATTTCCAAGCGGGTTTGAAAAGTTGCCATTACAGAAATAAAAAGGTGATGGGGAAATAAAAAGTGTCACCTCATGTAAAAATATTTTTACAAACATCAGATAATCTTAACAGGGTGCTCTGCAAATGTACATGAAACCCTAAGCTCCTCCAGAACTTTAAGTGCTCTCAAGCCATTCCACCTTGGGAGAAAAAAGCATTCACATCAATGGCAACTTTCCCCCACGCTTTCTGCAAGTCTACAAAGCACGGAGTAGGCCTATTCTGCCAAACCCTGCACAGGGCAGTGCCCCAGCACAGCTCCATTGGTGATGCCATCTCCACCGGTGAAGGGCCTGCCACTGGGGCGTGAAGGCAATCCGCAGTTTACAACACCACACTCTTCCGTACGTGTTATACGTGTTACTTGTGCATGTTTTCACTTCACAAACTATTGTAAGTGATCAAAGCAAAACATAAAGTACTCTAAACTATAGACTATTGTTTAAAAAATTAAAAAAAAAAAAAAAGATTCAGCACACCCCTAGAGGCAGGCTCTTCAGGGCTGGGTGCGACATCACCAGTGGAGTGTAAGCTGGTGCTTTGCTCTGTTCCAGAATTGGCAATCCGTGCCTGCTCTGCACTTTGCAAATCTGTAGAAACAAAGACAAAGAGATGACCATTAGCTGAAAGTCCTCAGAGATCTCTACTATGCCAGGTAACCTCAAAACAAAACACGAATCATACTCAAGGTTGTCTCTCTCTCTTTTTTAACCCATTTGTAGGTCATTTCAAGGCCAAATTCATGTAGACAAGCTTCTTTCAAATAAAAACGACTCAAGTGTACTCTTTATTTACTTTAATATTAGTTTGGAAAGGATAGTCTTCACCTCTTCTACTCTTCTTCCTGTTTAAAGGAACCAACAAATGAAAGCTGTTCTCTTGCTGCTAGACAAGGTGTCCTGAAGTCTACGACAGTTTCTACTCGGGCTGTAGGGAACTTGCACTTACAGGTACACCTCTTCCACCAGAGGGCTGCCTTCCAAAATCTGCAAAGGCTGGAGTAAAATCTGGTCCTCGAGGCAAAATCCGAGGATCCAGAGTTCGCAATGGCAATTTGGGTTGGTTGATCTGCACAAAGAAGAAAAGCAAAGCTTAACAAAAGTTCCAGAGCATCCAGTACCACAACAACAAAACCTTAGACTGAAAAGTGATGTCGCCTGAAATGGTAAGCACTGGCTTCCTGAACCAGTGAACGTCCAATGTGAACCTGGTGGCTTCTTCTGGGCCGGCATCAGAGCCCTCAGGTCAACAATGGTTTCCCGATGCCCTGGGACTGACTAGGCCCAAGATTCCCAAGGAGAAGCTAGACATAATCGGTAAACTGGCTCACCAGTCAGGACCGGTAGAACACAAGATGGGATTCTATTTTGGGATTCTATAAACTAGGGTCAAATTTTAAGATTTTTTTCCCTAGCATATTCACCAGAACATTAGAGCACCTGCCTATGAGAATCCTACTATTGCTCATTTTGGTTTTGATGCTGTTGATTTGTAATCAGAAAAAGCATGCATCCTGAGTAGACAGTAAGTCTCAGAAGGAGATTATGTTTCATGCGTGATAACTCACTTAAGATCTCACTCTGTCTAGTACACAGAAGTTGCCTGACCTTGCACAGGCATAGACTATGACTATAGAATCAGCAAAGCTAAGTAGCTCAGCGAAAATCAACTAATGATTGGCCAAAATCAGAAACAGACAAGGAAGAAAGACAGGAAGGAATGTTTTCTGAAAGGATCATCTAACTCAGTGAATAAAGTACTGAAGTAGCCTTAAATTAGCACCGCCAATCATTCCGCTGCCTCATACAAGTACCCAGAGAAAAGACTTAGGTAGCAACAAAAATAGTAAGACCTGTTGCTCTAAGAAAGTAAAATAATACAAATAAGGTCTGGAAATCTTAATAAGAGGTGGGTCTCATTCTCTAAGATATTTACCCTCTACTTTGATTAGGGATTAATAGTTCCTCTCCAAAACAATGTTTCATCGTCAGCACTGGTTCATCACTGACTGACATGAACACTTGGGCAGAGAAACATCTGACTTTACTCCTTTTAATTTAAAACAGATAAAAATAGAGGGGACTTATGCCAAGATGGAGACATAGGTGGATGCACAGTACTTTCACGCACAACCAAGAACTGACAGAAAATTTATCTGAATGGAAGTCGGACAGCCAAGAAGTTGAAACAGACCCATTCATCCAGACCGGTAGGAGGGGCGGAGACGAAAGGACAGGAGCAGGTCACGGTGCAGAGAACAGGGAGAGTTGGGCGCATAAGGCATCTGGGGCGCGCGAGATCACAGCGGGTGGAACCTTAGTGTGCAAGTGGCAGCTGGCAGACCCAGTGAGGCGGCGATTGTGGAACAGGGCACAGCACGCAACCCAGGAACCCAGAGAAGGGACTGAGGTCTCACGGAGAACGGAGCTACCGCCATTGTTCCCTCTCAACCTCGCCCTCACAAACAACATCACAATCTAGAGACTGGGGTGCCCAGCTCTGGTGAACACCTAAGGCTCCGCCCCTCATCGTAACAGGAGAAGCCAGACCAGAAGAAAAAAAAAAAAGAGAGAGAGAGAGAGAGATGGCTCAAACAGAAGAACAAATCAGTGCCCCACAACTCACCTTTTTAAGCAACTGAGAGATAGCTAACCTATCAGATGGACAGTTCAAAACACTGGTGATCAGGAAGCTCACGGAATTGGTTGATTTTTGTCGCAAATTAGATGAACAAATGCAGGTTACGATTAAAGAAATGAAGGAAAATGCACAGGGAACCAACAGTGATGGGCAGGAAACTGGGACTCAAAACAACAGAGTGAACCAAAAGGAAGAAAGAAACAACCAAACAGGAAGGAATGGGGAAATAAGAATTCAAAAAAATGAGGAGAAGCTTAGGAACCTCCAGGACATCTTAAAACGTTCCAACATCCAAATTATAGGGGTACCAGAAGGGGAAGAGGAAGAGCAACAGATTGAAAATGTATTCGAACAAATAATAAAGGAGAACTTCCCCATTCTGGCAAAGGAAATACACTTTCAGGAAGTCCAGGAAGCTCAGAGAGCCCCAAAGAAGTTGGACCCAAGAAGAAACACACCAAGGCACATCATAATTACATTAGCCAAGGTAAAAATGAAGAAGAGAATCCTAGAAGCAGCAAGAGATAAGGAGACAGTAACCTACAAAGGAGTTCCCATCAGACTGTCAGCTGATTTCTCAAGAGACTTTGCAGGCAAGAAGGGGCTGGAAAGAAGTATTCCAAGTCATGAAAGACAAGGACCTATATCCCAGATTGCTCTATCCAGCAAAGCTTTCATTTAGAATGAAAGGGCAGATAAAGTGCTTGTCAGATAAGGTCAAGTTAAAAGAGTTCATCACCACCAAGCCCTTATTATATAAAATGTTAAAGGGACTTATTTAAGAAAAGAATATATATATAAAAAAAACATGTATAGTAAAATGACAGCAAACTCAGAATTATTAACATCTAAAGCAAAACCAAAAAAAAACTAAGCAAACAACTAGAACAGGAACAGAACAACAGAAAGGGAGATCACATGGAGGGTTAGCAACAGGGGAGTGGGAGGAGGAGAAAGGGGGAAAAGGTACAGAGAATAAGTAGCATAGATTGAAGGTGGAAAATAGATAGCGGGAGGGTAAGAATAGTATGAGAAATGTAGAAGCTAAAGAACTTATAAGTATGACACATGGACATGAACTAAAGGGGGGGAAGTGGGTGGGAGAGGGTGTACAGGGTGGAAGGGAGTGAAGGGGGAAATGGGACAACTGTAATAGCATAATCAATAAAATATATTAAAAAAATAAAACAGATAAAAATACGTATTGACTGTATTAATTTTCTGCATGCATCATTAAGGTCAGATGTGAAGATAAAGGATTCCTATTTATTTGCATAGGATTAAAAACTAATCACTACAAGAACCATTCGGAAGAATTTTGAGATACACATTATTTGAATTATGTTTGACTACTGCTTAAGTTTGATCTGCCAAATACCTTCCTAGGTTTATGACCTATCCTTAATGCCATTCAAATTCCATACTGAAATTTGAGAATGGTGGGGTGGGGAAAGAGGCTTGTATCACTTCAGCTATATTAGCCCAACAAACAATTTTCACCACATCACTAGGAAACAGCCATAATAAGCAGACCATATAACCATAATAATCAGTTTTAAAACTTCACCACTCAAATATGGGTCAAATCCCTGTATCATTATAAGAATCCCAAATCAAAACTCTAATTCTTAAACATTATACATTTTAATTCAAATACCATTTAGTCTTACAATTCCTAAAAATTGCTCATACTTCACGTATTTGCACTGATCATAAAAACCACTTCCAAACCAAAAGAGAGAATCATGCTCTGAGTACCCAGCTTACCTTGTCAAGAACCACATCACTGATGGGGGGCAGGCCCTCCGGTTTCTGTATACAGGCTGGCATGTACTGAATGTCCAACAAAAACTCCCTGTCGTACTGCTTCTTGCCTTCAGTATCGGCAGGCTTCCAGGATTCTAGAAGAAGAAATGTAGGTAGAACCAACTGTCTATAAGGTCATTCTATATGTGTCCAGTAAAATTACAAACCAAATCCAGTATTTACTTTTTCTCATTATGAACAAACACACACAAGTGCAACATTAAGCTACAGCCAGGAATGTCACGTAATGATTTTATACTGCCATTTGTTCTTTTATTCCTTCTGGATACCTCTGGATAGAAGGGTAATTTGAAATAAGTTGATATAGGAACCACTTCATCTACACATTCAACAGCCTTTGGGTCCTCAGGAAATAAACTACCACACCTATAAATACCTCAGAAATAAGGAATTTAATAATATTCTTGGTTTCAGGGAAAAGAAGGATACTTTAGTTGTTCACCTGGCAATGTTATTTTGGAGAGAAAAAGGTAAAAAGACAAAAACAAGTAACATTTAACATTATAAAAAATTTAAGTAGCTAGACATAAAGTTTTTCCCCCGACTACAGTTTAATCTGAAGAAAATAAAATAATGTACTTGAAATAATAAGCATAAATGCTAGGTACAAAACAGACAGGAGGAGGTTAAGAATAGCATGGGAAATGGAGAAGCCAAAGAATTTATATGAATGACCCACGGACATGAACTGGGGGGTGGGGGGCAGGGTTGCTGTTGGGAGGGGCAGTGCAGGGCAGAGGGGAATAAAAAGGAGAAAAAATGGGACAACTGTAATAGCACAATCAATAAAATATATTAAAAAATATTTCTTGAAACAATATTACCTTTATTATATCTAATGTGCTGACAAGTTTTACTCTCCTTTCCTTTAAAAAAAACTGTTGGTTGTAACTCACTAAATTAATTTCAAAATCTATTAAATGAGTTTAAATTAGCAGTTTGAAAAACACTGGTCTAGATGATTTCTGAGGTTTGATATTTCACATGCAAACCCTATCTCAATGCAGAAGTCACTCCAGCTTTGGCAGATGAAGAAAAAACTCTTCATTTGTCTAAACTTTCTATCAAAGGAGCCACCACCTCTCCTATGACACCAAATAGCTCTACAATCTCGAAGTCAAGTATGGTTTACACAGTACTGGGAGAGCAGTTTAATGTATTTGATGGTGTCTAAAGATGCAATGTTCTCTGGCGTCTGTCATATAATTCACAGGGAGCTTCCCACCCTGCAGGTGCTCAGTGATGCAATCAGACTGCTTCTGACTCATCACTGGAGTTCAGTTCTTAACACAATTTCTGTCAACAAACTGAGTTCAGGCCTTGTGAAATGATGAGTAATCTCAAGTGACATGGTCATATCTGAAATATCCCCTTCACTTAAATGAAGTTAAATCATTTCCTGTTAAATCAGCCAGCCTAATGATGACTGAGTCCCTTTGGCAGCTGCTCTTCCAATGCCAGTGAAAGCAGAACACCAGCAGGAGCTATCACTTCCACCAACACAGAACTCTCTGGATTTGCCATTACTAACTTGTGCCTGCTGATCACTTCTGTAAATGTTACAGAATCACTATGATGAGCCTCTCCCTTCTGTCCACTATATCACTATAAGGAGGTAACATTTCTCTAAGGTTACAGTAGAGTAAAAGGAAGGAGAGATGTACACAGGAAGGCAGGGATAAAACTTACCTGGTTTAAATGGGAATGTGACCCCTTCACCAGAACTATCAGTGGAGCCTGAATTAGCATCTATTCCTTCACCCTCAGAAACACTCTCAGCACCATTACGTACAGGCTCAGTTTCTTCTCCATTTTCTTCCACAGTTTTCACTTTTTTTAGGTCTGAGGAGTCTCTCTCAGGATGAAACCCTTGGCTCATTTTATCCTGCTCACATTCAAGTACTTTGTCACCTGAAAGCTCTTCTTCAGCTGTAGGCTAAAGCATATGTGAACACAGGTTATATATTTTATCGCTGTGTGTAAGTACACATGACCATTTACACCTATCCCTTCAAAAGCAGAGGAAAACATGTCATTCGAGATAAGGATGTCTGTGTTCAGCCTTTATGGTACTAGAAAGGTAAGTTGCTTAAAACACTTTTCTCATTTCATCTCCTGAGATAATGCAGACAATTTAAATGGCTACCGAAATGCTTTAACATGACTAATGAAGTCTAAATGTACCAAAGTTTAGAATAGAAAGAACTGTTAATCCTTGGAACTTGATGGACACGAAACAGTCCTAGTCAGAAATCTAAATCAAGCACGCCTACCTACCCTTACCACTGCAGCTCAGCAAATATAAAAAGAAAACACTACAGGGTATTTGTGTGTGTGTATGCTGTCTTCTGGATGCAAAATGGAGAGTTCCATGAGTAGTTTAAGGCATGTAAGTCCCATAAAGCTGATCATCTCTCATTTTACAAGGATGCCACGTGTTAGGTAAAATCTGTTTTGTTTGTTGGTCCTCAGAATTTTCTGAGGCTGTGACCTTATTCAAATCATATATGGAAAAATGCTTGCAATATATTGCCCTAGAGAGAAATCTGGGTTCTAGTACATGTTATTTTTAAAAAGCAAAATAGAATTCCATTTTTCACCAGAATATTTTTGACCATTTTTTTTTTTTACCAAATCCAAAAAATGTATTTAAGGGTTATATGAACTATCAAAACTCCCAAGGCAAAGTTCTTCATGAACTTTAAGTCTCTTTTACATGAAGGGTAAATACTCTGAATACTACTCTTTGGAAGAAGCATTCAAAAGAAATAGGCATTCCAATTGATAAGTTCACATGAAGAAAACCAAAAGTAAATGCTCTGTTGAACTGGTTCAACAGAAGATTGTATAAGAGAATGTCATATACTCAAGAAAGTGGTTGCCCCAATTGGTTTATGAAATTATGTGTTTTTATTAAAGAGTTACAAATCCTACTTTGTTATATAAGTATTATAACAAGCACTATACTAGTAAATTTTCTTCTATTATACATGAGATCATGGGGAAAAGATACTAAATTTTAAAATGTTATCAAAAGCCCTGGCTGGTGTGGCTCAGTGGATTGAGTGCCAACCTGCAAACCAGAGGGTCACCAGTTCAATTCCCAGTCGAGGGCACATGCCTGGGTTGCAGGCCAGGTCCCCAATAGGGGGTGCACAAGAGACAATCATATACTGATATTTCTATCCCTCTTTTTTTTCCCCTTCCTTCCCCTCTCTACAGATAGATGAGTAAAATCTTTTTAAAAAATGTTATTGACAGAAACAGATGGTTCTTAGGCCTTATTTCTACAATGGAAATAGTTAAGCTCACAAACACACACACGCACACACGCACGCACGCACGCACGCACACATAGCTTCTTAGCTCCCTGAACAGACAGAGAGACAATATGGTAACTATTGAAAGAAAGAAAAGACAAACATAAAAATCCCAAGAGAATAAAGGCTGAAATGATTTCTTCTTATAAAACATGGCAGAAAATAGGCATCTATTAAACGTTGGGAAAAAACACATCTACCTGCGTGAATCATGAATTAGCAGCCTTACTTTTTCTTATTCTATTTATTATGAATCTAATTTAACTCATAATGACCTTGTAAATACCACCTTATAATTAAATAAAGGCCATCAAGAAGACCTTTAATAATTTAGCATGTGAGTCTATGAATGGTATTTAACCTTATTAAACAGCAATATATTATGTTATTCTACATACAATAATATAGAATTCTTATTTTGGATCTTGTTAAAATGTGAAAAAAAATTCTGTTTCAGAGAAAAAATATATTGGTATCTTCTGTGGAGAGGTTGTAATAGTTGAAAAAATTCCAAAGAAGAGTATTGTATAATGTGAATATTATATAAGATTCAAATTTCAATGCCCATTCATAAACACCCTAAAATCAACAACAATGGATAATTTATTAGATATTAAAGAGAATGTATTATTTGGAAAGTTAACTTCTAACTGGAAAAGGCAATATAAGCTTGTTCCATAAATAACAAACCAGAGCACAGAATCATTAAGATGTGTGAGGCTCGTTGTTAAAAGAGATATTTTTCAAGAGAATCCACAAAAATAGTGCATTAAATATTTATGATAATTATTTTTCTATGAGCAGACTGAAGTTCTATGCAACTAGCTCATTAAGTGCCTAATAGTTCCTAAATTGTTTACCCAGAAAATCAGGTTGAAAAAAGAAAGCACCTCACTGGCTGGGCTGTCAAAGTGAACCTTTTATAGGAACTTAAGAATTTGGTCAACAAAACTGTGTGCTTAATGCTTGAGTTTTTTAAAGTGCTAAAAAAATCAGAATGACAACTATGTATGCAACAAATAATGAAATATCCTAAAAATTTAAAACAAATTTTAAGATGCCTTGACTAGCATTTGAAGAGGAATCACCTTTCATGTTATCTTTCTAGGCCACAATTTAAAGAATTTAATCAAATACTTCCAGTGATGAACAACCCAACATCATATGCTGATACCTGAAACAGTCTTTAAAAGGCTGGCACCTCCCTAAGGAGAGCTTGATGATCAGTGCAAATGAAGACAGTGACAACCAGCATTTACAACGAACGCACTCTTAATGAATACTCAGTTTTATGAAAGGGACTAGGATTTCTGTAAACAAGCCTGTCTGCAAATTACCAAACACCTTTTTACTATATACTTTTAAACTGTAAGGTTAAAAAAAAGTGACTGGTTCAAAATGAGTCAAAACCTGTTGTGTATGAAGAACGAACAACAGTCCAAAGCAGGTCTCAGGAAACTGGCTCGCGGGCCAGACCTGGCTCATCGCCTGTGTTCCTACAGTGTCCAAGGTAAAGACGATTTTTTCGTCTGTAAAGACCGATTAAAACTCTGAATATTTTATGAGATATGACTATTATATGAAATTTCAATGTTCATCAGTAAGGTTTTACTAAGTTATGGCCACACTGATCTGTTTACGTATTGTCTATGGCTGCTTTTGGGTTACAGCAGCAGACATGAAAAACCGTGACAGGGATCACATGGTACAGCCCACAAAGCCTGCACGATTTACTGTGTGATCCATTGTTGGGAAAGTTCGCCCACTCCGACCTAAAGAAGAGGGTGAATATTTGAAGGCACAGGAATGGTGGCCCACCCATTTAATGGTCAGTAATGCTTAGAAATCTAGCCACAGGGTCGAGAAACATGAAGTATAGTAAGAGAAAGCTAATAAGAAACAGCTGAATCTAAAGAGTAACCTGTTTGAGGGGAATATAAGTGATCCTCCTGTTTCTGGAAGGTATTTTATTTTCTGTGAAAGCAACATTTTATTGTTCAGCCATAAAAAGTTCAACAATTATTTGCACCTCTATAACTCACTGCCAATTCTCACCCCCAATGACCACAATAAAATCGCATCTAGAGACATGTTTGTGGTTGCTATGGGACTAACTGTGACATCAAAAGAGCACCAGGTAAGAGCAATGACGGGACAGAGAGAAGTAACAAAGGGGCACTGTGAGCTGCTTGAAGAGAGTAAGAATTATAACTAGACAAAAAACCTTAAGAAACAAATGTATTTAAAGTTATTTTAAAATAATTTTACACTTAATGTTATGTTAGAAATTCAATAAAAATTAATCTAATAAAATAGATATGGGTTAAAAAGAAGAGACTGTTTATATACTCTTCATTTAGAAGCTTCAGAATGTAACATGAAGGACACTGAGACTGCAGAGTGAGAAACTGTTACAGTACTACTTAGAACCAAAATCTGCCCTTGTTTCTTCCTCTCATCATCAGGATGTGCTGTATGAGAGGTGTGCTGTAACAAAATCTGGTGTGGCTTAGTTCAAACAAGCAAACCACATGTGGAAGTTATCTTACTGAGTGAAATGCAGTTAAAAGATGACATTCAAAATGAATTTCCCTAACATGTACCTGATGAGTTCTATCATCATTGCTAATGGGTATCTGCAAGAACTGTCCCACTTTTGTTTACTAGATCAGTAACAAACAAATTTCTGTTACTGATCTAGTCCTCTCCCTCTTTCCATTTGATTAACATAAAGAAAAATTCAATTGAGGGGGTGAAGGAGTTAACCAAAAATTAAACAATAACTTACTTTTATCATTTTAGGGGAGGTATTTTGAAAGACAGACAAGAATTCAATGAAATTGAACATGCTATTTATTGAAAATTTTTTCAGCCCTGACTGGTATGGCTCAATTGGTTGGAGCATCATACAGTCAACTGAAAAGTTATGGGTTCAATCCCCGGTCAGGGTGCATGCCTAGGTTGTGGGTTAGATCCCCACTGGGACATGAAGATGAGGCAACTGGTTGATGTTTCTCTCTCACATCGATGTTTCTTTCCCTCTCTACCTCCTTTCCCTTCTAAAATCAGTAAGTATGTCCATGGGTGAGGATTAAAAAAAAATCTTTTCAAATTCTGTAAATGGACTTTTAAAAAAGTCAGACATTGAATTTGATACATCAAGTTTTGCCTGGAAAACAGTACCTCAAGAAAGAGGAATAAACCCACACTTGTCTTAGGAAACGGCACGACCGTCCTGAAGACTGGCCGAGGGAAGTTACAGCCCCTTACCTCCAATTCTGCTTCTGACGCCTCTTCGACGGTGCGGGTCCGGTCTTTTGGCTTCTTCCACGTCTTTGGTGCAGTCAGAGCTGTCTGAGCTGAAACACAAGATTGGGCTGCCGTTACTTCCCTCTGCAAAGCTATGTTTGGAAATTTTAGGTCTAAATGATACCTGTATTCGAATTTAGCTGAAGAAAAGAGGGCTTCTGCCCATATTTATGAGATAGACGAATGATAATGCGAACAATTATGTAGCTGTGGCCCAGAGATGCAATGGCAAATGTCTTGGGCACAAATTATCCATATCAGCTCATGTGGTTTTCCAACCAGTGACCCAGGCACATGATTCAGTGTACGGCGGTTTTCTATGTAGATAGCTGGCCTCCCCAGCCATTCCTAGACATGGGTCTGCTTCTACTGCTCATCAACTACGTGGTCTTAAGCAGGTCATACTCCTCAGGCCCCTGCTATTCAACTATAAAGTGTAACAGTGAGATGAGATAATATCTAAGGTTCCTTTGAGCTACAAAAAATATTAAACCTCAGGCTCTGACTTTAAAAAAAAAACTTTCTAAACAAAAGAATACTTTAAGATGTCATCTGGTAGTCAGCACTTCCACAACACTGAGTTCTCATTTCAGATCTATTTTGCTGGCTTAGCCTTTAATATTGCCAGGGTGTAAATAAAGAAAGAAAACATTTTTAAATGAACTATTCTAGTGTATCAGAAGTTCTAGATGGAAAATTAGGCTTACAAAAGAGTTTCACAATTCATCTTACAAATTCCAAAAAAATCATCCAACACTTGGATGTACAATTTAGACATTGGATAGCAAATAGACTATATTAAAAAGAATGACAAAAGGCAACACGCAAGTTAACAGAAACAAATGAGGTATTACAGGCAGGTGGGTAAAGGAAAAGAGTCAAAGAAAAGCCACTTTAAATAGAGACATTAGACATTATCAAAAGTGAATAAACACAAAGCTGACTCTCTACAGAAACAGGAGTTTGTCCACGTACACTAAACCAACAAATTGCCCTGGGACGGCCTCAAAACTTTTTTGGAGGAACAGCAGAACAGGAATGCTCACACTGCTTTGGAGAACAACACAAGGGACACTTAACACTCTTCTTCTCAAACTTACTGTTTCATGATTTAAAAAAACCACCCACTGTAAATTCCTTTGCTACATACAACTAAAACCAATTTATCTTTATCGTTCCCCTCAGGGACCATAATGAACAAGACAACCAGTTGTTATTCTTCCTTTGGCCTACTCAAGGTAAACCATTTTTTCAAGGTATGAACTCAAGACTGTAATTGTGGGTGGGCTTCAATCTTTTGCAGGGGCGTGACACTCACTTTCACCAGGGGCCACATCAGCCTCACGGTTGCCTTCAAAGGGCTGAATGTAATTTTAGGACTGGATAAATGTAACAACTCCGTAACAGTTAAGCGAGAGCTTGGCCCTGCCGCCAGGTAGAAACAAGGTGCTGGGCCGGAGAAAGCGAGGTGGAGGGCTGGGTTCTGCCCTCGGGCCTTGTGTTTGCCACCTGTGTTCTACAGCCTCATAGTCTTATACTAAATACACAATGTACATTCATGTATGTATGCATGTAATGGTCTCTTCATTTTTTATGGATCTTCTGATTTATAAAACCAGTCTGTTTTATGTGCATCTGTCTCATATGTTTGTGATTAATTCTGCTTCCATAGCAGAATTCTTCTTAAGAGTCTGGGGAACCTGTGCATTTCATTTCAAATTCTATTTCATATATGCATGAATCCAGCTTTAAATTTCATTCATGAAAAAGGGGAAACTCTTTCTGGAGAATTCTTTGGGGGTAAAAAGAAACTCATCCCACCTCTAAACAATAAAAACCAAGAATATATCAAATGTACCCAACCCAAAAACATTAAAACATTTCTTCCATGGGTAACATACCACATTTAGCATGCTTTTAAAAAAACAGCTACTTATAGCAAGAACTGTTACTCTGCTTAAATGGCTGTTTCAAGTTTTACTTTAAGGCAATACTTCACAACTAGTGGTGAGACAAAGCACACACCTCTGTAGGAGATACCTGAGTCCCTTCAAAAACTGAACACAGATATACATACCACACCTAGTGTCTAGTGAGAGCGTGCCGAGCATCCCCTCTTCTACCATTACTGATGCAGACGCGCAGTGCAATTGGGGTGTGCTGAAGGACAGGGAGGGAGCAAAAGAGAGAGGGAGAGACATAGAGACGCAGATACGGACTCCCTCCTTTAAAGGGCAATTCTTGCAGAATTAGCTAGAATAAGGGAATTAAATGTAAGATACTGCCACAGGTTTTTTCCCAATACTTAAACCTTAGATGAAGCCCTTAGTACTGCATTTAACTATGAGATAGTCTCTTAACCCACTGCCTCTGATTCTGACTTTAACATATAATATATAATACTGACTGAATGATGACTGTTCTAAATAATTGATTTGACTAGGCTGTTGTTCTTCTTAAACTATTCTTTAAGGTATGATCCATAGGGCCTAGAAAGCTTCCTTCACAGGGTAAGAGTTCAAATTTGTTGACTGGACAAATAACAGCAGATCTGCAGGAAGAGGTATTAGTGACATTCTGAAAAAACCCGCGGATCCTTTCGTTGGTTGCATTAAAGCACCGGAGGACAAATGACAGCCTCTGCATGGGAGTCGCAATTATCTGGCCTCAGAGATGTCTACAGCAGCCTCCCCTCACCCCCAGGAAACTCTTACAGGCACATTTTGTCCTGAATGCTTTAAAATACAGAATAAGTACAAACAAAAAGGCAATACTAGAATTTAAAGGATTTTTTTTTGCAAATTTTTACATTATGGGCAGAAAAACCATGCTCATCTTCAGAGCTTATTTCGTGAAATGACATGTATGAATTCAGAAAAACACTGGGACACAGTGTTTTTAGGGACACAGACAAGTTTAATCGCTGGGTGTTAGGAAGATCTTCTCTCTGACAGAGATTTTAGAATTTATGTCAAGAATTGCATCAAGTTAGAAATGTTCCCATTTCCAACTCCCAACCCATGAATGGAATACAGACTCCAGAAAATCGTGCCACATCACAACTGTTACACCTGGCCAATGGCTCCATTGTAACAAAGAAAGCACAATGCAGTTACATTTTTTCTGCTGCCTGTAAGATGCCTGACAATCACACCTGTAAGTGGAAGAGCCCCCTGGTTTTCATTTACTTTTCATACAGGCTCTACCGGAGTCAAGTTGCTGCTCTGGGCAAATTAAGAGCTAATGACTATGTACAACCTAGGAGTTAGCTACTGGACTTGGAGAAAAGGGGTTAATATACAAGATTAATAAATGTACTGGGTAAGTTTGCATAGTCTTCCCACCGATGCCTGAGAAAAACTGTTATGTAAAATGGTAGCTCAGATAGAAATAGAAGAATCAAGAGTAGTTAGGAGACAGCAATATAAGGCACCCTGAGGAACCGCTCTGTAAAACATGATCTCAAACATATACTCTCTTCCTTTTCTTTGCAAATGCCAGTCCTTAGAGAAACTCCAAGTAGTTACATCATGGTTTCTAGTGTGGAATCCTGACTCTGAGAGATGTCAGAAATGTCACATAGGAAGTACAAGAATGGCAACATCACTGCTATCGTTGGCATAATGACATTCCCATACCTCGGTCATTCTTATTCCTTTTAGTCCTATCAGTCTTTACATAAATACGACAGGTACCCTCGTAATCTCAAGGTATTCCACTGCGTATGCAACAGAAGTCTGAAGAAAACTTTTACTAAAGATACCATGTTGGTGAACTTAATATTGCTTCTCTTTACTGTATCACTCCTTACTACTTCTTTACTAGTAAGGTACACAAATAAATTGTAAGGGTTAAAAAATTTTCATTTTTTTTCTGGTGTCAACAAGGAAAGAGATCTTTTCCACTCTCCCTTTTCTCAGACCTTTGCCTGGAGAAATGTTATAATTGTAAAACCTTCCCCCACCTTTGATATATGTGTAAATTTGTTTACAAGCTAAAGAAGCCTCTTGCCAGCTTTACAACTCAGCAATGTTTTTCTTAAGGGTCTAGGGGCCATCTTTCTCCAGCCATCGTGGGAGTTTCACCTAGGCAACTAGCTTCTGAACCATCTGCTGCCATGAACATATGAAATAATTTTCCCTTAGGATAAACACGACTGACTGACACACACGGACAGCTACCGGAGAAGTTACGATAAATCAGATATGAGAGCAACGGTGCTGGTCTAGTCCTGCCACACGAGGACAAGCTGTCATTACCTTGAGAACACGTATGTAATGGATTATACCTCTGCCTGGCTTTAACAAAGGGCGAGCTTTCCTTCCGTCTGCAGTCTCATTAGTGGGTTGCTTGCGGTGCTCAATGTAGTCTTTTTTTCCTTTTTATTAAATTTATCGTGGCGATGCTAATTAACACAATTCTACAACACGTCATCTGTATACCGTATTTTGTGTGTTCACTACCCCAAGCCTCAGTCCGTCACCATTTATCCCCCCACACCCTCCTCCACGCCCCCCACCCTCTTCCTCCCATGATCACCATAGTTGCCCATGCCCATGAGTTTTTTCCCTTTTTCTTTTTTTGCCCTATCCCTCCTCCCACCCAGCCTAACCCACCTCCTGACAGCTGTCAGCCTGCTCTCATTGCAGTCTTCATGCTTATTCAATAATAAAACTATTTTCTTTTCTCCCTACATTTCTGGAGAGGATCTTCTGGGCTGGGAGGTTATGTCCATTTTCTCCCAGCAATCTGGTAAAAACAATGGTGAGGTCTGCAAGTGCCTGAAGTGAGCAGACCAGCTGAAGGTCCTGTGGCCACATTAACACCCAGGTGGCCCTGGGTGTTATAAGAGGCCCTGAATTATAAGAAAGTCTCCCTTCTAGTTCTATTCTTTTGGAATATAACATGAGTTCTTTAGCTTTGAGACTTGAGGTGAATGTGTCCAGGGGCTAGGTCTCTGGACTGAAGTGACAGGAAACTAAGAGGCCATGACACTTGACCACTGGTAAGGGAGGGGCCCAAGCGCAGGGTCACGGGGTTATATATAAAG